CGCGCAAACACAACAGATTTACAGAACATACAGCCAAACACATAAATTTACGCAAACACACACACACGTACACACATACACACACACATACACACACTTCACAGCACACACACATACATACACACACACATACACACGTTGCAACACACACACACACACACAAGTCGCAACACGCGTTGATTTATGTCAGAGGAATCGGGCGACTTTTCGAAGCTTTCAATTCGCACTGCTCCAACATTCCACTTTGTTGTTTTTTTATGTTTTTTTTTTCTGTTCGTTTGTATGTGGCTGCTGTGAATCTGACCGTTGTGACCTTCGTGTAATGACTCTCACAGTTCTCATTTTGCTCACTTTCGTCTTCCTCGCTTTCACTCTCTCTTTCTCTTTCTTTCTGTGCTTTTATCTATTTATTTCTAATAAATTTTTCCTTTTCATTTTTCTCCCTCTCTTTTTTTCTTTTTCCCACTCTTTCTCTCTCTCTCTCTCTTTCTCTCTCTCTCTCTCTCTCTCTCTCTCTCTCTCTCTCTCGTTGTTTCAACTTCACTCTCTTGTTTTTACTTTCTCTCTACTCATTTTACTTTTCATCTTTTTCTGTATTTTTACCTCCTTCCATTCTCTCTTTTTCTCTCTCTCCCTTTCTCTCCCTTTCTCCCTTTCTCCCTTTGTTCATGGTTTCGATTTTTTTTTTACAAAAACAATCCTTTGATGAATGGTCGTGACGAATGTATGACGCATGTTGTCGGCTGATGATGTCGAAGCAGGTGACTGTAATGACGATGACGATGATGATGGAGGTAGTCGTGATGATGATGACGATGATGATGGTGGTAGTCGTGATGATGATGACGATGATGATGGTGGTAGTCGTGATGATGATGACGATGATGATGGTGGTAGTCGTGATGATGATGACGATGATGATGGTGGTAGTCGTGATGATGATGACGATGATGATGGTGGTAGTCGTGATGATGATGACGATGATGATGGTGGTAGTCGTGATGATGATGACGATGATGATGGTGGTAGTCGTGATGATGATGACGATGATGATGGTGGTAGTCGTGATGATGATGACGATGATGATGGTGGTAGTCGTGATCATGATGACGATGATGATGGTGGTAGTCGTGATGATGATGACGATGATGATGGTGGTAGTCGTGATGATGATGACGATGACGATGATGATGATGGTAGTCGTGACGATGATGACGATGATGATGGTGGTAGTCGTGATGATGATGACGATGATGGCGATGATAATGGTGGTGATGATTTTGAATGTC